AGCAAAAACCTCGTCAAAAAAAAAAAAAAAAAAAAGAAAAAGAAAAAGAAAAGAAAGAAAAATAAAAAAGAGTTCATCATATAGAGGCCAGCAGGTGGTGTGGTGGTTATGTTGCCGGACTCCCACATGGCGACGGCTGTTCAAGTCTTGGGCCTGGCTTTTTCACTTTCCCTTTCTCTGTCTCTCTGACTCTCTCTGGTCAAATAAATAAAGTTAGAAAAAGAAAAAGAGTTGGTCATGTACTGCATGCTGGCTTTCCAGAGAGCACAGTGGCTCAGATAGTTACTGACCACTGTTGTGAGTCGAATTCAGCCTCCCAGAACGTTGCACTGCTGGGACCAGTAGATGGCGTAGTTGCTGAACTTCCACGTAGTCGACCACAGTTCGAGTCCCGGACCTCGTGGCTTAAAATTCACACAAGCGAACACATACCCAAGATCCCAGGAGGAGAACGGAGGAGAAGGGATTGTGGTGTGGCCATCCCCCCAGGGGATGATTTCTCGCTTTCTGTCTCTCTGTCTCTTCGGGCAAGTGCATATACCCTATAGCAAAAAAATATCTCTCTACAAAAAATTTAAAAAAGAAAAATGTTGAAGTGCTAATCTCTGGTCCCGTGAATGTGATCCTGTTTGGAAGCAGGGTCTTTGCAGGTGTAATGATGTTAAGAAAAGACCGTATGATCATACTAGGTTGGGGTGGGCCCTGACACCGGTGGCTGGTGTCCCTTATGAGAAAAGGGAGGGCCGGCCGCACAGGGCAGTGGTTAAGTCCTGCACACAGAAAGCCAGATCTCACGTGTCCAACTACAACTCAAATCCGGGCCCTGGTGGGGGGGCGTGTGCCCCAAATCCCTATAGGATGGAGAAACTGAGAAGGAACTGAGGCATAACCATACCCTGTTTGGGGATGGGGGTTCCCTCTCCTCTCTCTCTTTTTCTTTTTCTTTTTTCTTTTTTTTTTTTTGAGAGGTTTTTGCTATAGGGCACGTGCGCTTGCCAGAGAGACACAGAGAGACAGAGAGACAGAAAGTGAGAAATCACCCCCCAAGGGGGATGGCCACACCACAATCTCTTTTTTTCCATTCTCCTCTCAGAATCCTGGGCAAGCACGCACATACACCCAGCGTGAGTTTAAGCCACCGGGTCCAGGACACGAACCGCGGTCAACTACATGGGAGTCCAGCGACATAGCCATTACACTAACTGCTGGTCCCTCCTCTCTTTTTTTCTGGTGAGCACACTTGCCATCTGGCAGTTAAGAAGAAAGAAAAGAGAGATTTGGAGACAGAGACACAAAGGAGACACAGGAAGGACAGGCCACGTGACGGCAGAATCAGAAATTGAACGCCAAGGGTGGCTGGTGACCCCCAGAAGCTAAGAAGTAAGGAAGGATCCTAGAGCCTTTGGTAAAAGCTTGGCCCTGCTGACACTGTGATTTTTTTTTTTTTTTAGAGATTTTTGCTATAGGACACATGCTCTCACCAGAAGTCACTCCCTAGGGGGTTAGCCATGCCATAATCCCTTCTCCTCCGTCCTCCTCTCAGGATTTTTGGCATGCACGCACAGGCCCCCGTCCTGAGTTTCAAGACTCTGGGTCCAAGCCTAGAACTGCAGTTTACCATAAGGAAATCCAGCGTGACCACTACGCCATCTGCTGGCTGCAGCAGACACCTTGGTTTTGGACTGTTGGTCTCCAGAACCGTGCAGGAATGGCACGCCCTGTTGTTTAAAGCCATGCAGCTGTGACTCTCTGCCATGACAGCCCTTGGAAACAAATAGAGCCACTTACTGAGGGCCAGGCACTGTCCCAGGCACGACATTTGGGGAGAACTAAATGGCCAGGACCCTGCTCTCCCAGAGCTACCACCAGGCCAGGAAGACAGACACGGGCATCTAAATAAGGGGAAGGTAGCAGGGACAGTGCTCCCTGGGGCAGAGACCATCCTAGCCAATGTGATCTGGAAAGGGCTGGCTGAGGGGCAGTATGTGAGTCGAAGATTAGGAACAAAAGATGA